CCTGAGTACTCGGGGAGTTCGCTGCACATAACAAAGAACACGGTTGAGCCCTGGGAGTGCCCAATGTACTGAATCTGATGGAAATGCGTGCGCTCCAGGATCAAGTCGATGGACGATGGAACATCTATGGTACCGATGTCGTGGAAGGAGAAGTCCCAATATTCTTTCATAGTGATCCCCTTTTTCGTGTGCTCCTTGGAGTAAATATTGCCGCGCGTGTTCAACATCCAGACATCGTAGCCCTGCTGAAACAGTATGTAGGCTAGTCCGTTTGACGGGCCCAACATTACCCAGGCAGCTGAGCTGGACATGAGGCCATGGACTAGTAAAATGGGCTGAGCACCCGGTCGCGGCATGCGGTGCATGCAGAGCTTGTAGCCATCTCTGGTGGTCACGAAATGGGTCTCTACTGGATATCCATACTTCTTGATAAGCTCAACCTGTTAAAAGTGGTCCATGTTTCAGGATATCATATCAATATATTAGGATGTCCTTGAATACGACTCACCGTCTTCAGTTTTCCGTCGGTTTCAATGTCGGCCTGCGTGAGGAAGTGTGCAGGTGGTATGATGAACCTTTCCTGTTGTACATCGTGCTGCCCACCTATCTGAATTGGGTGCTGTAGCGACCAGTTTATATTGGGATTTTGCGGAATGCCTTGCACCCTATCACCATGTACATTGATCTCTACCTCTGATTGGCCTTGATTCCACTGCGGTCTTAGTTGGCTTGGAGTGGATGGATCGTATGAGTTTCCTGTAAATCCATTTTCGTCTGGCCTCTGAAGTTTAATGTCTACCTGCACAGGGCGTGGTTCGAAGAGCGTTTCCTGTTGTACATCTTGCTGCCCAACTATCTGAATTGGGTGCTGTAGCGACCAGTTTAAATTGGGATTTTGAAGAATGCCTTGCGCCCTATCACCATGTACATTGATCTCTGCCTCTGATTGACCTTGATTCCACTGCGGTCTTAGTTGGCTTGGAGTGGATGGATCGTGTGAGCTTCCTTCGTCTGGCCTCTGTGGTTGAATCTGGTTCGTGACAACCAGATCTACAACGCGATTGTAGACCAAAGACCGCACATCCTTCGATATGACGAAGTCGAAGTGCGTGAAGCTCTCGAATTCCACTTTCCGGCTCTCAATGCAGTTAGGCAGACGATCCTGCAGATTGGTGACGTCCGAGCCAGAGGCTAGCCAATCTTTGGCCCCATGGTGCAGGACCACCTTGCACTGCGTCTGCGACAGATTGTAGGATGGTGGGGTCAAGGATTGGTAGCGAATGCGGTTTCTAATCGGACCGTGGTCGAAGCGCCGGAAATATAGATTTCTGTGCAGTTGAGCGTAGTGGTGGATCTGCTTGGTGGAGGCACCCTGGGAAGCGTGACCGACGATGATGGGAGTCAGAGTCTTAGAAGAGACAGGCAGTTTGAACGGTTAGATTCGAGTTTGTTCTTGGACCAGCTAAGGCACGATTCATACCCGATTTAAGCTATCCCAATTGAAGCCACATAGGACAAAGTCGAAAATTCCGCAAATTCGACTCGTGATCTCGTTGGCTGAGCAGATGTGGTTCCTGAACTGCTGGATGAGCTTTGTGTTCAAGGATATCTCGTGGCCTCCCAGTAGGTTGAGTAGTACCTATAAGTATGCCCTGGAAGTCATGGCAAGTGTCAACAAATACAGACGAGACTCACCAACAGAGGCCCCTTGAAAAAGCTTATGAACTTAAGCACCGGACTGCGAGTCTGCTTCATGTACACCGTCGGGGAGAGAGCCTGCATTAGCTTCACTTTGCCTGAGTACTCGGGGAGTTCGCTGCACATAACAAAGAATACGGTTGAGCCCTGGGAGTGCCCAATGTACTGAATCTGATGGAAATGCGTGCGCTCCAGGATCAAGTCGATGGACGATGGAACATCTATGGTACCGATGTCGTGGAAGGAGAAGTCCCAATATTCTTTCATAGTGATCCACTTTTTCGTGTGCTCCTTGGAGTAAATATTGCCGCGCGTGTTCAACATCCAGACATCGTAGCCCTGCTGAAACAGTATGTAGGCTAGTCCGTTTGAGGGGCCCAACATTACCCAAGCAGCTGAGCTGGACATGAGGCCATGGACTAGTAAAATGGGTTGAGCACCCGGTCGCGGCATGCGGTGCATGCAGAGCTTGTAGCCATCTCTGGTGGTCACGAAATGGGTCTCTACTGGATATCCATACTTCTTGATAAGCTCAACCTGTTAAAAGTGGTCCATGTTTCAGGATATCATATCAATATGTTAGGATGTCCTTGAATACGACTCACCGTCTTCAGTTTCCCGTCGGTTTCAATGTCGGCCTGCGTGAGGAAGTGTGCAGGTGGTATGATGAACCTTTCCTGTTGTACATCTTGCTGCCCACCTATCTGAATTGGGTGCTGTAGCGACCAGTTTATATTGGGATTTTGCGGAATGCCTTGCACCCTATCACCATGTACATTGATCTCTACCTCTGATTGGCCTTGATTCCACTGCGGTCTTAGTTGGCTTGGAGTGGATGGATCGTATGAGTTTCCTGTAAATCCATTTTCGTCTGGCCTCTGAAGTTTAATGTCTACCTGCACAGGGCGTGGTTCGAAGAGCGTTTCCTGTTGTACATCTTGCTGCCCAACTATCTGAATTGGGTGCTGTAGCGACCAGTTTAAATTGGGATTTTGAAGAATGCCTTGCGCCCTATCACCATGTACATTGATCTCTGCCTCTGATTGACCTTGATTCCACTGCGGTATTAGTTGGCTTGGAGTGGATGGATCGTATGAGTTTCCTGTAAATCCATTTTCGTCTGGCCTCTGAAGTTTTATTTCTACCTGCACAGGGCGTGGTTCGAAGAGCGTTTCCTGTTGTACATCTTGCTGCCCAACTATCTGAATTGGGTGCTGTAGCGACCAGTTTAAATTGGGATTTTGAAGAATGCCTTGCGCCCTATCACCATGTACATTGATCTCTGCCTCTGATTGACCTTGATTCCACTGCGGTCTTAGTTGGCTTGGAGTGGATGGATCGTGTGAGCTTCCTTCGTCTGGCCTCTGTGGTTGAATCTGGTTCGTGACAACCAGATCTACAACGCGATTGTAGACCAAAGACCGCACATCCTTCGATATGACGAAGTCGAAGTGCGTGAAGCTCTCGAATTCCACTTTCCGGCTCTCAATGCAGTTAGGCAGACGATCCTGCAGATTGGTGACGTCCGAGCCAGAGGCTAGCCAATCTTTGGCCCCATGGTGCAGGACCACCCTGCACTGCGTCTGCGACAGATTGTAGGATGGTGGGGTCAAGGATTGGTAGCGAATGCGGTTTCTAATCGGACCGTGGTCGAAGCGCCGGAAATATAGATTTCTGTGCAGTTGAGCGTAGTGGTGGATCTGCTTCGTGGAGGCACCCTGGGAAGCGTGGCCGACGATGATGGGAGTCAGAGTCTTAGAAGAGACAGGCAGTTTGAACGGTTAGATTCGAGTTTGTTCTTGGACCAGCTAAGGCACGATTCATACCCGATTTAAGCTATCCCAATTGAAGCCACATAGGACAAAGTCGAAAATTCCGCAAATTCGACTCGTGATCTCGTTGGCTGAGCAGATGTGGTTCCTGAACTGCTGGATGAGCTTTGTGTTCAAGGATATCTCGTGGCCTCCCAGTAGGTTGAGTAGTACCTATAAGTATGCCCTGGAAGTCATGGCAAGTGTCAACAAATTCAGACGAGACTCACCAACAGAGGCCCCTTGAAAAAGCTTATGAACTTAAGCACCGGACTGCGAGTCTGCTTCATGTACACCGTCGGGGAGAGAGCCTGCATTAGCTTCACTTTGCCTGAGTACTCGGGGAGTTCGCTGCACATAACAAAGAACACGGTTGAGCCCTGGGAGTGCCCAATGTACTGAATCTGATGGAAATGCGTGCGCTCCAGGATCAAGTCGATGGACGATGGAACATCTATGGTACCGATGTCGTGGAAGGAGAAGTCCCAATATTCTTTCATAGTGATCCCCTTTTTCGTGTGCTCCTTGGAGTAAATATTGCCGCGCGTGTTCAACATCCAGACATCGTAGCCCTGCTGAAACAGTATGTAGGCTAGTCCGTTTGACGGGCCCAACATTACCCAAGCAGCTGAGCTGGACATGAGGCCATGGACTAGTAAAATGGGTTGAGCACCCGGTCGCGGCATGCGGTGCATGCAGAGCTTGTAGCCATCTCTGGTGGTCACGAAATGGGTCTCTACTGGATATCCATACTTCTTGATAAGCTCAACCTGTTAAAAGTGGTCCATGTTTCAGGTTATCATATCAATATATTAGGATGTCCTTGAATACGACTCACCGTCTTCAGTTTCCCGTCGGTTTCAATATCGGCCTGCGTGAGGAAGTGTGCAGGTGGTATGATGAACGTTCCACCTTGGGCATCTTGCTGCCCGCCTATTTGAATTGAGTGCGAAAGCGACCCGCCTGGATATTGCAGAATTCCGTGCGCGGCACCATGTATATTGGTCTGTGCCTTTAATTGATTTTGACTCCACTGAGGTCTTGGTTGGATCGAAATGGATGGATCGTATGAGTTTCCTGCAAATCCATTTTGGTCCGGATTCTGTTCTTCGACTTTCAACTGACCATACTGGTCTTGGCCAAGTATGATGGTGACGTGGAGGATTAAAAGCGCGAACAGCACATCGAAGCTAACGATCCGCATCCTGGTACTAGGATGGCCTGCGTATGTAGCTATCTGGTTGATCCGCCTTATATAGGACCCCTTTAGAATGTGGCGTGTCGCTACGGATTAATAGTGTGAAATGGACTAAGCCGCGGAAAATGACGGTACAAATGGCACTGTTACATCATTGACGTCATTATCAATGGTTACGGAAGGTTTTATATTTTTTGGTACATAGATTCCGTTGCTCCTGTTTTCATTAGTTTTCCCAATACTAGATTTATTTTTTGTTGTTGACTTTCGTTACACATTATTAGATTCTTTTTTCCTTCGTTACTTAACTTCACACGCACCAAGGCGACCCCCATTATGTCTATCCTCAACATTATTTCGGACGGATCGATAGATTCCAGTGCCAGTGTGCAATACGGCGGGGTGCAGGGGTCCGGTGTAGCCCAGCAGGACGACAAGCTCGACGAGGACTTGGAGGACTTATACAAGAGAATAATGCCTATAGATACCGACTACGATCCAGCGCTATGTCGGGACCAGTTCTTGAAGAACTTGTTTGAGGATCTGGGTATCTTCGATCCCAACGAAGTAGATAATGACCCTCTGCTGGAGGTTGGCTCTGTCTCCAGTGCATATATGTTGGCAGGCAAACGGGGGCTCTCACAACCCGCGAATTGGACCCTAGACAGCTTCGTCCGCAAGCTGAAGCGTAAGGAGACGCTCAAAGCCCTCATACCCCAGACCATCCCGATCCAGATAGGGGACAAGGTCTTACAGCTGGCTTCGAAAACAGATCAATATGATGCACTTCTGGAGTCCATGCAGCGCTCGTCGTTGTTCTTTATGTTCAGGCGCACATGCTACGATCTGCATATACTGAAGAATGCTTCTCCTGAGACAGGGGAGCTGCATGTGCAGGACCTACCCCACAATCTGTTCTCCTGGTCGTTGGAGGATTTCTTTCGACGACGCGAGCTTAAAGACTTTGTTTACTTGGACGTTCTGGTGCGGGACCACACCGCCAACACTTTGGACTGGGCCAAGTACCGGGTGGATCTTCAGGAGACCGAACGGTTTTATGGGTATTTCTACTCTGAGATCTTTAACGGCGCCGGCTACCGCAAACTACTGGACCTGATCTGGGAGCAGAAGCAGATGCTTATCATCGACAAGGCTTTGCAGGAGGACCTCGAAAAGTCAAAAGCCTCCCTGGACACCACTAACTTCAAGGCCCGTCGCTATTCGCAGGCCTGGTGGCAGGGCTACAAGAGCAACATGGTCGAGGAGCTCCAGCAAAGCTGCATGGAGGCTACTGTGACGATTCCCATCGAGTGCCGCTACCTCTGTGCCTACTACGAAACCCAGGTGGAGTTGCAGCTGATGAAGGACAACGTGCGCACCCGCCAGCTACAGAAAGAGCTCGAGGACGTCAGGAGGTCCATCCAGCAGGGAGACGACACTTCGCAAGCCTCCCTCAACACCTACTACGCGATCATCGAGGTAACCGAATTGGAAGACGGGGATTCCCCACTCTCTCAAAAACTAAAAGTACTCCTCTTTTCTACCAGGATTACCGTAATCGATATAGCGAGCTTAGCGATAAGTACGATCGGGACATGGAGCACTGGGAAGACGAAATACTGCAAACTAACTTTCGCCTGAGCAAAGCTCGCGACGACATGAAAGAAGCCATTGATCATGTGATCTTTATGCGTCGCCGTATTGCCGAAGTTCAAGCCTTGATCGAGGCAGAGCGCCAGGAGGAGATCGACCGCGTGGTATGACCCACTCTTACACATAATCGTACAATCACATACCTAATTACCGATAACTAAATATGGCCGCTTTTCCACAGGCCAACGAGCAAGTAGAGCGCCAGAAGGCTGCTGCCAAAAAGGCAAATGCCAAGCAGCAGAAAAAGAAACAACAGGCCAAGGCCCGGAAAGTCCGTGTCCAGAAGCGACAGTCACAACTAAGCCAGTCCGGCAAACGGACTTGAACACAGCCATTCCACCGGATGCATCCCTCACCTGCGAACTGGAATAACCTCACACTGCACTGATCAAAAATTGTAGTGATATTACACACATTCATTCCCTAAATATAGATAAAAGCCTAATACTTTAAGTTTATATACGACAAGTTGTCGTGTTGTACAAGTGCTCGAAGTGCAACCGCTGTTGCCCTTTAGCCTTGTTTCGACTTTGCTCTGGGACTCCGCTATTGTAGGCATCTTTGTGGAACTCGCCTGATTGCACAAATCTGATTACCAAAATGCGCGGAAAGAGTTGGTCGAGAAAGGATAATGCCATGTCGCCGCATTAGCGCCTCGGCTAGAAGCAGGGTGGAGCAGCCATCTCCGACGTCGCGTGAAACAAGCTGGAAATTGAGTTTGACTGCCAGAGCTGGCTACTCTCCTTCCACTTACCCTCCCACGTCGACCCATTCTCCGAGCTGGCTGCTTGGCATATCCTGGGATGATTAAAGCCATGCCATCCTCTGCTTCCTCTGCCAACTTTTGCGGTGATTTGTAATTTTTTCAAGCATATCATTGAGATGCAGTACAGCCCTGCACAAATGGGATATTAAGCTCGTACGACGGGACGGAGCCAACCTGATTATCCTTGGCCCTTCTTTGGTCCAACTCTGTCCTGAAGAGCTCGACACATATTAAATTTCATTTCGCTGACAGTTGGAATAAGAATCGGGCGCCTAATGAAGGTTAAGCAACTTTTAATGTCCTGGTCCCGGCCATTTTGCAGACCATTAAATGTTCTGCCTGGCAACATGCCATATGTTTCCACAAGGACATAAGCCTTCGGTTTGGGATCATGTCCGGGAAATGATTCAGAAAAACTTTTCTTATCATTTCTGCGCAAAAAGTCATAAAGACGTTGGCTAAGTATGCCTGTGTGTGCCTCAGTGTACGGGATGACATGACGATGACAGTAATCGTAATCCTAGTCATGGTAATGATGACACTGGAGCCGACACCCATATAAACATATGTTGGGCTGGGCATTACGGCACATGGAGTCAGGTCGTGTAAACGGCTTAACGGTTAGCCACGGATGGTTAACGATTTTCACCCCTCAAATGCTTGCATTGCAGTGTTTTATCCAACCATTAATGTTTACTTTAATGGGATCCATTCTACTTGGGATCCAACTCAATCGAAAACATCTTTCGAGAGGTTTCATCAAGAGTAGATGTATGAAAATACGTAAGCATTCGACTACATCCGCTGCCTTCTCACTTGCTTTCAATTTATAGACGAAATCTTTATAAACCCAACTAAATCTGACCCAACTTCCCATTTTCTATCCCGCTATTCTATCTTGAAGCCAGTTTCTTGTTATTTCAATTTTGAACCGTGGAAATCGGTGTTAGACGCTTCAATGAGGTAATGGCATAATGAGGCGACTATTCTTGATTTGACCATCCATTAAGCTCCAAATTATGTTCGGCTTGATTGTTTTCCGCGTCTTTATTCACGCTCCGCAGACTGATAACTACTACAGCCTACATACATACACGTAGACATGTATTACTAGTATGGGAATCGAAGACACCTACTACTCCCATGTCCCATGTCCACACCATCGTTCAAGTACCGGCCCGGACCCCTTTCTAGTCAAGCGGAACTGTGACGCGACTGTCCAGTGGAGTGGGGACTTTAACTTTTGAACTTTTCCTGTCCTGAATTGTTTCTTGAGAATTTACATGTCCACACGCTACATGCTCTCGGCACCTCAGACCACTCCCCTCTGTAATTTCATGCTCCATTGGCCAGTGAAATCGGCCCGCAGTCAAAGCAAAGCTTTTACCCCTCTATTCACCCTCTGGGCCATGCTTTAAGTTGTCCAATTGAAATAAATGCTCGTTATTTAGGCCATATTATCCGAATTCCAATTTTCGGAATTCGAATAGTTCTAAGAGTTCGGCGAAAGTATTTAAATTCTACATTTGCGGCACATTATTCTCCTCCGAAACTCCGGGACTCGCGGTCACTTTTTTACGAGAAGTCCGTTGATTTTTTCAGGAATCCAAACGAGACATTCGATTGGCCTTTGTCCAGGACTTTTGTTGGTTATTTATGCTACTGGCTTGTGAAACACTATCTGCCAGCTGTTGCGGCTGCCGACTCTGCTGCCGGTTCTGCGTGCCACTGCAGTCAGGACCACTTGTTTCCGCTCGCCATTTCTTTCGCGTGCCTTCTCTGGAGTACATATATTTGTTCTCCTCTGCTGTCGGCAGAGCCAACACGAGAAGTCCATTTCGAAATTTATGTACACACAAATTGAATGCGCAGATGGGTGGTGTGAAGCACTGGGAAGAGGCCAGTGGGCGCCAAAGTGAATGAAAGAAAAATGTTAGTCGCTGAAAAAGTTGGCTGCATTCCTCTACAAGAAAAAAATTTTAAAAATAGAACAGGAAAAACAAAGCGATATGCCTTTAAGCGACACTTGTCGGAGGGGCTTCGCATGACTGGGAGGAAAACGCTTTTCCCCCCAACAGTCGTCGAAGACATTTTTAATCTGGATATTGGGGGAAAGGCATGGGGGAAGCGCCGATCGAAAAGCAACGTAATAAAGGCAATTAGAGATAGATACATCATACATAATGCACTTGGATATCAAAGTAAATGGCAGGAGACCCAGGTGCGGTCTTATCAAACCTCATGTCGGATAGCCTCGACTCGCGCCATACATATACGATTTCAACCCAGTTTTGTTAGATTGTACAAATCTCTATTTCCGCATCTTTGAAATCATGGATGCCACAGACTTTCGCAATTTTAGGGTAGCAGTAGGGGCCTTGACTAACTTTTGCAGGAGTCCCGATCCAAAACTTTGTTGCTCTAGCTGGTCTAGCAAACAAGATGGTCGGATAATGATGACGGGGATACAAAGCAAACCATAGCTTTTCTATGAAACGATATCAGGCCGATCAAAATTAAGATCTAATACCTATGGCAGCAGTAAAATAAATTTATCAAATTTGGCTCTGATCCCATTATGTATTTATACTCTATTGCACTACTAGCTAACACCATTCTGCATATATTTTTCATGCCAGAGGAGAGGTTGCTTTAAGCCCCTTCGGGCTTATTGTCGGCTCCGCCCCAGCCCCTGCCTTGAGCTTCCGCTTGGCTCATTTGTTGGTGGCACCGTACGATAAAGGAGCCACCAGGTTTGTTGCACTTTGAACTTCGGAACAGCGCGGGAAGTTCACCTCGTTTATAGGGCGGCTCTACAACTCAGCCCGTTGCAATTGTGACTGCTCTTGGCATAAATTAAAAGCGCGAGCCGCGTTTACCGTGTAAATAGGTTGCCATTTGGCAGCTGCTGGCCAAAGGTGCCTCGTCTTCGTCATTGTCCCGCTCTTGGCTCACCCAGAAATGAGCGGCCCGTTCCATGGGTCTCGCCCGAGGGCGGGTGTTTGTTTCATTTGCGGTGTCACCGAGAGTTAACCTGGCCTAACCCTGGTAGAGCCAGCAAGGCTGTGGCCCGTTTCCTGCCCATCAACGTTCCCGTCCTCCGGCAGCCTTTCTGACTGGCAAGCTGACTGAATGGCTCACTGCATTTGCATTTCCAGGCCCCAATGAACGGCACCGCATCTTCTCATATTTAAGAGCCTTCACCGCCTGCTGGTATCCCTAATGCTAAACTCAATAATCGCTGAATGCGCGGCTGGTAACTTTGTCTTGTGTATGCTAATTTCATTACAATGCAGTTGGCTGGCTCTGTTCTCGTTCTGCCAGCCAGCTCCAGCCCCGGGACCACTACACTGCCTGGTACTGGCCAGGACCCTTCTCAATACCCAATGAATTATGATGGACGTTGTCATGAATGGACAGGGCGGACACAGTGTGTGGTCAGCGGCGAGCGGGCTGCGGACTGCGGACTGTGGACTGCGGCTTTCGCCGTTCGACTCTCGGCTTTCGGCCCTTATGTGCGTGTGTGTTGGCCGTGTTTATCTCTCGCCAACGTATACTTAGCACATTGCCGGGGGGTGGTGTTGGGACAGGGATAACCGCCATGTACACGCTATCAGGAGATTGCTGGCTAGGCGTTTTCGCCCGACACGCCTTTCAGAAAAAGCGGGCGGTGCGGAGGAGCAGAAATGAAGTGCTTAGCGCCGCGCTACTCACTCACAATGTCGGTAGGAACACACTGAGAAAAATTAGACTATTAATAGACCCATTCTTTCAAGGGTAAATGAATAGCAAGCCAATTGCTCTCTACATGTCCGTACATTGCTTTTTCCCAGAGAGCAGGTACTTCTTGATCGAGATCAAGAATATGGTACTGTCGTTCCGTCTGTTCCGTATGCAATACACCAAGGTACTCTACAATAACCGGGTAAAAAAAAACACTTTAGTTATAATTTTTCAAAAATTCACAGAGCACTTTCATTCAAAAATATAAAAGTCCATCCCATCCAGTCTTAAAATGCTCCGCAGTGTAGGTGGAAACGGTGTGGGGCGGAACCCTTTGGCTGCGCCACTTCATTATAAACATTTCTCAATTGATTATAGTTAGTTTTCCAAGGCTAATGGTGAGAGTGGGGGCGGGTGTGCGTGGGGCGGTGTGTTCGTGTGTGATAACGCCATAATTATGCCCCTATCCTTGGCGTGTTCGGCGCTGTTATGGCTGCGGTTTTTGCCCCACCGATTATATTTGCACGCATGTCCTTCACGCTGCCACTCGCGGATAGTGCCCGTGCGCGGGCTCCGCCGTGTTTACGGCGTTTCGGGTCGTCTCCGCTTTTTGCATGCGCCTCCCACAACTAAGTAAGTAATCCACATAAACTGCTCCTGAAATATTTCATTATCGTAATGAAAAGGACGCCGGTAAATATATTCTCTTCTGCCTTCCAGCTGCTCCACATGAAGTCCTTCTCAGGGCTGTGGGTATTGGCCCTGTGATGGCAGGGGTATGGGCGAAATGGAAGATTGCATTTACGTTATTCCTCAAGAGATTTCGGTGGGATTTTTCACATTAATGAGCTTGACAAGTGACAGATGAATCAATAAGATATTAATTATAGAAACTATGAGTGCGTGGAATTTAATTACTGCCCCCCCACCCCCATTCATAGTCGTTTCCAGTTTTCTCTGTGCAATTAGTCGGTAAAATAGGTTTTCATTAAACCGGATTTTAATTCAATTAATTTATGACTGAAAATTACGAATCATATTAAATTAAATGCCGATGCATCTCCCAAAATGACTGACGAAGGGAGCACCAAGCCGCTGGAAATTGGCACAGCCTCAGCAATATTTGATCCATTCACCAAAGATTAAAGGAAACATACTCGTACGTGTTCGATGCCGGCCCAACTTCTGTAGGACAGTGTAAAAATCATGTTTTTACGCTTTACTCGCCCGCAGCAGAAAGTCTTCTCGTTTTCCATAAATTAATCAATTCCTCCGCCATTGCCGCCACTGCCGCCACTGCCGCCGTCAATTGTAATCCTTTATCACTCGTTCATTTTACTGATGGCCGCCAATCAGGATGTTCTGGCAGCAAGGATGCGCCTGGTGGACGGACCCGGCCCGGACGCGGACATGGATCCGGATCCGGATTGTCAGCCTTCGTCGAATTCCTTCTCAGTTGCAACTCGGGGCCCGTGACAATGCGCAAATAATGACGTAATTAATGGAAGAGCATAATAATTTTTTTATCGACCGAAATTAACAAGCAGTCGACACGTCAGTCCCCAGACCCACCGAAGCATGACGCGAAGAGCAGGCCACATGCATATTTATAGCCACATTCCTCTGGTTCCTCCGATTCCTCCGATTCTGTTAGTTAAATCAACTTTAAATTGCATTAAATATTAAAATTATTGAACTTAAATTCAATGTACATATTTCCATATTTCCGTTTCATTGTATTTTGTGTGGGGCGCGAATGAAGCGAGTATGTGGGATTCGCTTTTTAAATTTACACAAATTTCCGAATGTGGCAGAGATTTGAGGCGACAGGGCCCTGACCCTGAACTTGTCGCTCTGGAAATAACACTTTAAAGGCGGCTCCCGACGGATGTAGTGCGGCACGTGCACAAAAGTAATTACAAAATGCAGACAAAAAGGGGGCGTGTTGCATGGGGCATGGGCCATGGGGCACGGCAGGAGCAGTGCAGAGGCTGACAGCTAAAAAACGAATTGTAATTGGCATCCAGTTGGCTGCGAGTCAAGTCTGGCACCATTCCGATTGGAGTCTGTGCAAGACTGGTGAGGACCCCGACCCCGCTACCAAATTGTCTGTCCTTACACTTGACTTTAACCTTTTCTGAAGTTGTGCTTTTGACTAGCCAGAAGAATCGAGTCCTGGCTCCGGCCCAAAGTTGCCAAAGTCGTAAAGTTCCGCCCGACAGTTTAAGCAGCCCAAACTTCTGACCTTCATTCGCCCTGGCCACTTTTTCACTTGGACTTCACGCACTCCTGTTTCCCCTGTTTCCCCTGTTTCCCCCGCTTCCTGTTTCTGGCGCCATAATGAGCAGAACTTGGCCAGGCCATAAAGCAGGCCCCGCGCCGGGGGAAGCTCCTTTTGGACACGTCTAGAGTTTCGCATGAAATTTTATGCGCGCGTGATTAAAAGTCACGTGCTTGGCCCCTTCGGAGGGGCCCTGAAGTCTGGAGAGGACTGCGGCAGCTTCTGCACCTAATGTAGACTCCCGATGACGCCAACAGTCGAACAATGCTGATCATAATCTGGGGCAGCATAGATGCGGCTGCTAACGAGCCGGCTGCCGGCTAGGCAGCTTTGGCAGGCCTTTAAGACTAAGAGCGGTGCTCCCATTGTTTCTACTCGACTCTAACTAAAGGCTGTCCAATTGATTGGTCTCGTTTTCATTGTACTTCAAGCGGGTTTCTGCTTCCGCCCCTCTGCTCCACCACTCTCTCCCTTGCTGTTGGGCTGCAGCAGGCTTTGGGTCTGCTGATTGTCGTGTGATTGGCAGTTGGCGTCCCAGCTCTCGTAATGCACTAGTGAGGGGAGACCTGGCAAATGGCTAATTGTCGTGGCACGCGCCGGTCCTGAAAGGTACCGCCTCCCAAATGGGTCCACCTTTTAAGGTAAAACCAGAAAGTTCGGTAATTCGGCTGACAGCTAAATCTCTGGGCTGCAATGTGGGTCAAAAGGGCAACGATTTCCAGTCACTTTCTGTGGCAACAACACTCAAGGAGAGTTCATTTTCGTTTATTTCGAGCTAAACTGACGAACTGGCACTTCTCCCGATGTAATTTTAAAGGCTTTCAATAGCTTGAAGTTCCATGAAGTTTACGCTTGTCAAGCATGAAACCAAGGCTTAAAGTTCGACACGCTGCAAAGAGATTTGCCATGCCACACCCCCACAGAACCCATTCCCATCGCCTGTCAAGTTGCCAACTCCCCCTTGCCTCAGACTGTCTGCCTCTCGGACCGTCTGCCGGCTCCTGGCAGGACCAACATGTGGTGACAACGCCGAATTAAGTTATTTGTCAAACGTCGAAACGTTGGCCAGCATATCAGACCAGAACGAGCAGACCAGAGGCGAAAAGGAGGCCTAGCCTGGGCTCGAATTGAATGGACTCCGACTGGGAGGAGAACACTTCGCCGCCTCGCCTCGTCTCGCCTCGCCCCGCTTTGTCAGCCTGTCAGCCATCGCCGACGACAGCAGTTGCTGCAAATAAAGGAACTGCAAATATTTTATGCAAAAGCCGGAATCACTTTTTGCCAATCAATTGTAAAAAAAGGAGGCGACGACATAGGCACTGATGGGGCGATTCCAATGTTTGCTGAACGGACACTGGACGAGATCCACTGCGCAACGGAATTAAAAATTAAATTTTCCAATTAACCCGGCAAACACTTCTTGGATTTACTCTTTGGCAGTGGCCAAGCAAACTTCATTATAGGGAAACACTGTGATTTGCCCCGACGAGGGCTTGCCTAGGCTCTGGGACTGGTTTTGTAGATACATTAGGTACACATATATACCATATGGTAGAAGCTGGAGCTTCCCAAGGCAGGAACATTAAGGATATACGTACAAACTGGCGGATCCTAAGTCGCTCCAGATGTATAAATCAAGCACAGCATAGCTGATCACCTGGGCCACCAGGATTTTTTATTGTAGGTTTGTCATTATATTTCAATTGGTCCGATATGCTTGATCGACATCTCGTCTAGCCGTTTAAAATGATTGATTCACAGCCTGAACTTTGCACTTGTGGAGCTCGACCACACTGGGATCGTTTGATCTAATTTGTGCGAATTATATTCGACATTCATATGTGTAAAAACTCGTAGTTTAGCTGGAAATGAGCTGGCGATGATTCTCCGATAAGCTGTAAAAAAACATTCCCACAAAAAAGCAGACAGGGCTTTGGCCAGCAGTAATTATTACTCTTTAGTGGGAGAGCAGCTGGGCTTTGCCAGATCGGGTTTAGTCACGGATCGCCAATGCTTTGGTCAGGAACGTACGCCATGCAACACGCTAGTTGGATTCTCGGCTCGCTCTGGCTCGCGCTTCAGTGCATGCGGGTGGCCGGGGGCTATCTGGAGGACAACTTTCCGGCCAGCGTGATAGAGGACGCCCATCTGAGCACGGTAGGTGGCAGGCCCCAGTGGCAAGTTGCAAGGGACTTGATGCCCTAGCGGAATTCTCTGTGCTGCAGATGCAACTCTTGGAGAAGTACAAGTATCCGGCAGAGGCCCACCAGGTGACCACCGAGGACAAGTACGTCTTGACCATTCACAGAATTCCACGACCAGGGGCCCAGCCCGTCCTGCTGGTACACGGCCTGGAGGACACCTCTTCCACCTGGATATTGATGGGTCCGCACAGTGGTCTGGGATACTTTCTGTACAGCCAAGGCTACGACGTGTGGATGGGCAATGTGCGAGGCAACCGCTACTCGCGCGGCCACCTGCAGCTGAACTCCAACACGGACCGCGCCTACTGGACCTTCTCCTGGCACGAGATTGGGATGTACGACCTGCCCGCCATGATAGACGTTGTCCTTGCCAAAACGGGCTTTCAGAAACTCAGCTACTTCGGGCACTCCCAGGGCACCACTTCGTTCTTTGTGATGGCGTCTAGTCGCCCCGAGTACAACGCCAAGATCCACCTGATGAGTGCTCTGGCGCCAGTTGCCTTTATAGCGCACGTAAAGGCTCCTCTCTTGGGCTTAGCCAGAGTTGGCATCAACCTTCTGGGCGAGTCCTTTGAGCTATTCCCCCATTCGGACATATACCTCAAGCAGTGCGTGCAGTCGGCCGGCATGCTCAAGACCTGCCTTCGTTTCTACTGGCAGGTCATCGGAAAGAACCGCGAAGAACTCAACATGGTGGGTACTCTGTCGAAGCTTATTTCCAAGGGTCACGCATATTTCTTTATGTTCTGTTAGACCATGTTCCCCGTGGTGCTGGGCCATCTCCCAGGTGGCTGCAATGTCAAGCAAGCCATGCACTACATGCAGCTGCAGAGATCTGATCGGTTCTGCCAGTACGACTACGAAGCTAAGGAGAATCAGAAGGTGTATGGGCGCACGACGCCCCCCGACTACCGACTGGAGAGGGTTACTGCACCGGTCGCGCTGTATTATGGCAGCAATGACTATCTTTCCGCTGTGGAGGACGTTCAGCGCCTGGCCAAGATTCTGCCCAATGTGGTGGAGAACCATCTGTACAAGAAGTGGAACCACATGGACATGATGTGGGCCATTAGTGCCAGGCGCTCGATTCAGCCCAAGCTGCTCGAAGTAATGAAGTACTGGGAGTCAGTTGGTGGCAGGAAGAATGCCGAGGCTACCACTAGTTTTCCGGTGGAGGAAGAGGTTCCACAGCCGGTAACAGACCCTGCCCCCGAGGGGGAGAACGATGTAGGAGAGAGCTATGATGATGAAACTGAAGTTGAAGGAATAAATGAGAAAGGGCAGGAAGATGGAAAAGGACAGGACCAACAGCAGGACGAAGCTGTTGAGCCACCTTCCGAGGAGTAAAGTTGGATTTTATGAATACTTCCTGGTCTATTTCTGATATTTAAATAAAAACAGGCGTTTGCCTTCACGTTAAGATGTTGTCACAGGGTTAATTTTCTTCCGCCAAGCCTGGCCTTTCAGAGAATACGGATTGCACATGTTCAGTTGTTTCTTCTTAAATATATATTGTTGTCCCCAAAGTGCCTGAATCCCGTAGTTAGGGCCTCGTGCACCAGTCTCGGCTCCAGCAGCTAAAGCTTCGCAGCCGTGGACCTGTCGGTACTCCCTGAAGGTTGAGACGAGGAGTTCATCTCAGCTCTATGCCTCGCTCTCACTCTCGTCTCCTTATAGAAATCGATGAGGTCCAATGTGAAGTCTCAGCGGCGAAGGACCATGTTCGGTAACGTTCCGAGCAGTGGCAGACCACGTATTTCCTTCATATTCCGCATCTGCCAGTGGCCAAAGTTCCACGTGACGAACTTGTAAAGAATTAGGAGCAGTGCCCGTATTAAATGGTGCATATTTTTTGCAAAATGTGTAACATAGGTCAAATCACGAACTCTTCTGTGAGTCGAGTATCGAGATAGGACTCTATGAAGCATAGCCAATTGGCGTGGCTAACTGGGGAACCCAAATACGTTAGTTACGGTGTATTGACGAGTGGATATCGATTCATAAAGAATAACACACTCGAATGGTCCTACTGAATACTCATTTACGGGTATATCCGACTTTAATACCTGAAGTATTATGTTAGTTTCAACCTCGACTCATTCCTCCATAGGAAGGCCTTCCGGCCTTGTACATATACATGCCATAGAAGCCGAGCTATGGGGTATGCTCTAGTCGCATCACTCGACTCCAGCGATCCTAACTGAATTCCAATATTTTTGCCTCGAAGAGACTACAACAATCACGTGCCACATCCGCCACATAGCCGCATTAGGAGGAACCACCAGAAACGCTCTGGGAATTTGGTAGCGCAACGAGGCGCGAAAACATTTACTCAACACTTAGCAGCTGTTGGTGGGTTTGCGGGTTCCTTGTTCGGGGATCGTGGCCGGCGACGTGCGGCGAAAGTTTTTTATGATTTATGAAGCAGGCGACGAGGATGGAGCCGCTGCTGGAGGTCCTGATGTCTGCTGTCGTGGCGGATGTGGAAATGGCAGACTCCCAGGCCGGGAGCAAGGCGTTTCCGGGCGGGTGGGGTGGCTAAGCGCTTTCCCGTGTCAGTTTCCCAACAGCAAGTGCTCGCTCCTTCCGAAACCTTCCCCCGAAACCCGGATATAAAAACTGCACTTTGATGCGTTTTCCCCGCACACAACTGCAACTACAGTGCAGAAACAGTAAACAATGTGTAGCCGAAATAACAAAAGTTTCTTTGGCGGTTTTTCTCCGCTGCGCTCATTAAAATGTTCGCTTAGAGCTGCCGCTGCGTCCTCCTGGACCTCCTTTTGTCAAACACAAACACAAAACAATGAAAGCCTCACACACGAGCAAGGATGTGCGCATACAATAAGCAAGTGTACATATATATGCATACGAGTATTCCCACTTTTGCAGTTGACACATGCTGCTTTCTAAGCAAACGTGTCGCTGGAGCTAAGTGTGTAATTTATAAGAGTGTTTGTCGGGGGGGAGATTTGGATCTGGTGGGGAGGTAGGGGCCGAATGAATGCCGAAACTCTACAACAGAATTCATAGGAGCATTGTTGGCGACACATTTCCCTCCTGAAAGGCCGCACAACAAAAATCCATTTCAGAACAAACGCAGAAATCCGCACAGAAATTGGCACAATGAACCCTCGCCCGCGTGAGGCTTTCCGCAAATGGAAAGCGCTGGAAAAGTGAAAATGGTGTGCAAGAAAGCGTTTATTGGGCCACCGCTTTGCAACATATTAATTAAGAACCGACACGCTCCGCCAGTTTTCCGCCTCTAATAGGGAAACTACCGTGAAGCTAGCCTAATTTTAGGACAAAAACTCGTTTAAATTTGATTACGCGTTTTTCCATATGTATTTTATTTCGATTCTTTCTTTTAAATAAACTCATTTACGTGTGTGCCGTTGCTGCTTATGCAAATCGATTCTCTCCTCTTCGGATTGTTTGCTTTTCTTGAATGTTATTACAGTTTTAAATATTTAAACATGCATAGTACTGGTAATTAACTTTAATGGTTGTTGCTTTCTGCCGTAGATTGGAGAGTACACATAGTTTTTACGTACACGGCCATACGGCCATAATCGTATGCATTACACCTTACAATAAGTACGAGTACGTAGGACAGAACTAGAGTAGCCAAACTTTATTATTATATTAAAATATTTATAAATATTTACAGGGAACTTAATGGTTTGTTAAATATTAATATTCAGACGCATATTAAATTCTCATAAGCAACATGGTTGGTTCGCTTCAAATTGGTATTCATTTTTGGTGGCTATCGTGCAGATTTTGAATGATTTTGAGTGCTTTTGCGTTTATGTTTAACTTTCCCACTCAATTTCCGGGATTTCGAAAAGGGTTTTCTTTTCGAAATTTTTGAAACGTTCGACGAGGCTTTCTCTTCTTCCTGTCACACTTATGAAAGCCATTTGCATTCAGTCTTTAGAACAAAAACTCATCCCAACAGTTGATTTCGATTCTATTCTAGCCTCGATCAAATGTGTGTATTTTTCGCGTAATTACTACCACATACGCACTGGTTAAAATACGAGACGACCCATACAGATGCAAATTTGTAGCTACCCTAATTGCTAATTGGATTTTAGCCGGAATTTCATCATTCGCATGCGTTTAAATTTAATTTGGTTTTTGGTGTTGCACGGTGCATGATTTTTGGCTTTGTTTTCACTGAAAAACATCAAAGATTGTTATTATTATTATTATATTTTACATACAGCTACCGCTGGCTGTTTTCAATTATTTTGAATAATTTACTCCCCGTTTGGCGCAGCGTTTTACAAACATTGCCTAGAACTACGAGTAGAGATACGAATAAATGGAGATATGTCGCTGAACCTTGCCCGAAACTACACATTTAACATACGTAATATTGTAAGCTGCATGAGTAAAATGTTCATATTTGTAAGGTCTGCTTATACGCTATATACGCCATATACGCCATATACGCTATATATAGATATAGACACCGATAACTGCTGAACGCAAAGCTTTATGTACACAATTCGCTACTCCTCCACATGGCACACGGCCGACCTAGAAGTAATCCATCTTGGGCGCGTCCATGGCGGTGTGCATCGTCAGGGTGACTCCACGGTTGATGCTCACGGCCGGGTAGAACACCCCGTACAGATCCCGGAACGCCACCGATCCCTGCGGCATTTCGTTCACCAGGAAGCTGAGTGTGTGCCGCTCCAGATCGAGGAGAACTCCGATGGTACTGCCCGTGGTGATGCCTCCCTCGACGCGTCGCTCGTGGATGGAGTTGTGCTGGAACCAGGAGCGCTGGCGATCGATGTACATGGCAAACGACTTCTCGTCTTTACCTGGTGGATGGCGGGAAGCATGGATAATGCGATTAGTTTACTTAGTGTTCTTACACGTCTGGTCTTCGTCAATAATTATATATAGGAACTATGTCCGATATATCTGAATGATCACGGCTAGTTGGTTCGCACCTAACGAACCATGAAACCTGATTGAGTATACATTTGAGAGTATATCCATGTGAGATCTACGCTAAAATAAGCTACAGTTCACTGCACTTTGTTCTCTCCCAAAAGAACCTCTTGTTCGGATCATTGATCTTTTCGCATCGATTAAAATTTCGTTGAGGCAAGCCAATACAAGTATCTGTCAATATCTAACATACAACCTAAATGGGTGATTTTGGTGGGGCAGGAAAGGCAGACCGTGATCTCTCTCAATTTCGTTCGCACTTGTCTTGCAGTTCGGTCATCGGATCAGATCTTCCACCGGTTTCTCGTATTTTCAATTGCCACATTTTGGATGACACCGATTTTCGTCATTTCTGTTGCCAAATTTCGAAATACACTTTTTTCACTGGGCTGTTAACACAGAATTTTGATTACCTTAGCTCTTAGCTCTAGCTAGGAGTTAAACAAGTCTGACGGACAGAGAGACATGGCTATGTCGAATCGGCTATTGATGATAAACAAGAATATATACACTTATGAAGTCGGAAATCTTTCTCTCTGGGTGTTATATATCTCCAAACTCGAAGAGTTTATCCACTAATGGATATTTTTGGGATTAAGGAATTCCTAGAATCCCTAGAACAATTCGTACGTCAAACCGAGCTATAACTACCGCTTGTTATAGTTATACGATGAGTTCTTCTTGAAAAACTATCAAGAGATTAGTCCAGCTTAAGTAACTCTTCCCTTTCGTGCGTGTTCGCTTTTCGAACTTTAAAACTTGGCTCTCTTGGCACTTCCCAGATCCAGTCCTGGACCTTTTGTCACTTTCCCGTCTGTCGCTTCAGTTCTCTCAATTTATAAGTGACAAATGCAACAGGGGCTGGAAGGGATGGCTCCAGGGAAGACGCAACGCACGAGCGTCGTAGAACAACTTGGAAAACTGCAACTGTTGGAGTCAGTGTCAGTGTCAGTGTCAGTCGCTGGGAGGAGAGGGCACCTGACACCTGCACTGCATTTTGCATATGAAAATTTAATTCGAAAACTTGAGCATCGAGCGTAGGGAGCTGCTGCTGCTGCTGCTGCTGCTCCTTCGGGGGCACGTGTTAAATGGCGCGTGAGATGCCTGAAGAGTAAATTCTGTAAGTGAAAGAGATACACGACGCCTTCTGCCAGCTGGAGAAGAAGGGAAAAGAATGATGCCTGCCGATTCCCGCAAATAAACTTTCGCATTTGACAAAAGTTTAAGTGCCGCACTTTTAATTACTTTTGTCTGCAGTGAGCAGAAGTCTCCCCACAGCACCCCACGGCCCTCCACAGCCACGCACATTTTCAATCAATTTGCCGAAGCGTCCTTTGAGGCCGCCTCAACGACGCTCTTAGGTTCCTTTGTTTGTCGCCAGTGGTCGTCGCAGTACTCTCCGCCCTGGAAACTGAAACTCGCTTAGAAGTTCCGCTCTTCGCGCACGCAACAAGAAGTGGCAAAAGTTTGTTCACGCCCACCCGGCGGCTCCCCATTTTATTGGCCTGGTACTGCGGGGGCGGCCAAATGGCAAAGTTTTAAGCGCTTGCCGCACTCCCATACCACCTATCTATGGCTGTACATTGGGTATTGGATTGGGTCTTTTGTCAACGCCAGAATCTATTTGTTGTGCAGATTTGCCACTTTTAGTTTTGCCGTGAAAGTTTCTGGGCCGCCTGCTCTGAATTTTTAATTGAATCTCGAATGCAACCGGTAACCCAGTGAAATGCTTTCCTTTCGCCATTTGCGGCGTGGTACTCACCCAACATTTTGTTCCGCGCCACATCGATACGTGCCACTCCAAAGGCCGGATCCGTGTCCGCCGTGTAGTTGTCGATGGTGAACTCCCAGTAGTGGACGCCGCGGGAGAAGCCCACCGAGCCAAGGGCCACCCGGTGCTCCCAGCCCTCGACGCTGACGGTGGCGTTATTTTTGCTAAAGATTAAGCCAGAGCCGGCGCCGCCGCTCAGAACTGGATCAAACGTGAACCAGGCCACTGCAAAAGAGAGCAAGAGGAGAGGAGAGGAGAACAGGGATGAGTGGAGGACCAAGTGCAAAGTGGAAAGGAAAACAAAGTCAGACTGGTTGCAATTTTCACTATTGTCAAAGCTCAAGTGGCCAGGCCAGGCCATGGCATGCCAGAGGAGTCCAGTCCAAGTCAGAGCTCCGAGCTCCGAGCACTCCTCGTGCCGCATAGTTTATGCTGTTATGCCCCGCAAAGTATGCAACGAGCAGCAGCACCACCAGCAGCGGCAGTCGCCTCAAGTCGAGTCGAGTCGAGTACTTTATTAAATTTCCTTTTTATTGTTGTGGCCGCATTAAGTGGCCGAGGCTGGTCCCGGATCAGCTGGGACCCGCCGGGACGCCGACTCCGGTGATGATGATGATGATGACGTTGCAGCGTTGCCGAGTTGCCTCTTCTCCGAGCTGCTTTTGACGCTGCCATTTTCCTGTTTTATTAGCCACCGAAGGCAATTGTGTGGCCAAACAAGCCACAAAAGCCAGCATCTGGGACAAGAGGTCTCTTGGCACCGGGGACCGGGGACTGGGGACTGGGGACCTCCGTTGCTTTGTTTATGTCGGGAATATGAGATTTGAGTCAAGTACTATAAACTATGACCATGATGCAGCCATTTAATTAGCCGCTATATGTACATTTCATTACCGAAGCTCAAAGTCGGATTAGGATCATAATTTCGATATCCTGGAGAGACTCAAATTAAGAGCGAAGTGTGCGGTTCCTACGACTCTTCCTTGAAGGCCAATCATCTGCCTATACTGTGGCAAGGATAAAGGTGCCAGCAGTCTTGCTATGCATGGAAAGGGCTTCTGTTTTCCATTGACCCCTCTCCACCACCCTTAGTAATTGTCTTAGCCCTCCTCCCTGCTTTCCGAAGGTGTTACCAGACCCCAGCCCATTAGTACGGACCGCCCGCAAACGTCACGAGCCATAAACTGTTAACTGGTTCTCCGTTAATTACTTAGGGGCACGCGCTCAGTGTAAACACTTTCTAAAACAACAATTTGGTCGACGATCTGCGGCCCGGGTCCGCTCAAACGGTCCGTAACCCCCTGGAAGACAACTCGCGGACTCCCAGAAATAATCAATTAAAAGTTGCAAATTAATGGCCACCAACTAATAAAGGAACGGTACCAGGATCAAGCCAGAGCCATAGCGGGCTGGCAATTTTATAAATTAAATAACTTTACGCGGCGTTTCATTCGCCCCGTCATGCGGTCAGGGGAGGAGCTGCTGTCAGGTGCTGCATGCATCAATCAAGCGAGAATTGGATTGCAAAAGACATTCCCATTCTCAGGCATTGCTCCCCCTCCCCCCTGTCCTGGTGGCAGCCCCATTCTGGTTCACGTTCTGTTTTTCCCGCCCGGCAGGCGTAAAGGGGTCAATGGCTGTTTGACATGCAAAGCACGAACGGAAGGAGGCAGGGGTGACGCAGGGGTCGGCGGCGCATGACCGAAAAGGATTAAATTATAAAGCAGTTGGAAAAGTAGCTCCCAAGCAAACGTTGCACCCAGTCGCAGACCCAGTCGCAGACCCAGTCGCAGTCCCAGCTCCGGCCAGGAGGAGCTTAATTGAAAAAGCTAGTACGGCATCAGGGTCTCACCTTCGGCAGTCTGCAGTCCAATCAGCGCCGAGTATTCACCCTCTCCGGCGCTATTGAAGGCCTTCACCCGGGCATTGTACATCGAATTGAAGTGAAGACCGTCGACGGTGCAAATTGTTTCCTTGCCGCAGTAGACTTCCTGTGGGGTAAAGAAGGGGAGAGGGGAAAGAGCCAAATTAAAGTTTTCATCGTTAATAAATTGGAGGATGACAGCTATTCTTTCAGCCACTCAATCTGTTGATTGAATCGCCCATCCAGCCAATAGACCACTCATTCGCCCACTCTTTTGGTCGGTTATTCATTCAGACAGTCACTGGGAATGGTATTCATTAATAGACTCCGTCTCTGATCATAGATTCAGTGGTTTAATCCACATTTACGGCATATTTCTATATATATAGCAAATAGGCTTTCATTCACTCAGACTTTTCCCAGTCATTGCCAATTCCTTATTTCAGACTTTACTTACCCGAAACTCTCCGCCGCTTCCATCGTCCAGTTCCAGGACGTAGCCTTCGACGGTGCAATGAGCCGGTGGCTGCCACGCAACTGTGACGGAATTATTTTCCGCTGAACAATCCGTCGGCAAAATGCTCGGAGTCAAGGGTGCTGTGTGGGGGGGAAAGATGGTGAATAGGCGATTCCGGGAAGTACAATTTCTTAATGAACGGATAGGGAGCCGTGCCAATTAAAGGGAAATAAATATTCGAGCCACAAAAGAAGATTAACAACCGTGTCAGCAATAACTCAAATAAAGCAGTGCAAAAATAATGAAACAACCCACAACCAATAACAGAAACATATTTTAAATACTGAAATAGATGTGGGGGCAAAGGCGTCTGTCACCGCTCTTCCATTGCACATTAATCTCGTATTAATTGCCCGGAGGAGTGCCGTGCCCCGCCTGCCCCTGCGACTGGCGACACAAATTCACGACGCAACACAAATGGCAATGGCAGAGAAGCGAAGGGCAGCGCCTAAAATTATGCCATTCACAACAAATCTAATATACCCTTATACTCATTTTGAGTGTTGGGTATAATAATAATTATACTTTATATATGTACATTATATAATAAATATAATATAAAAATCTAAAATAATAATTATACTTTGTATGCGTTATATTATTATTATTTTAGATTTTTATTAAATATTGATTATTTTTGATTTTTATTGAATAATTATTATTATAAATATTATTCTTGATTTTTATTGAATAATTATTATTATAATTATTATTCTTGATTTTTATTGAATAATTATTATTCTTGATTTTTACTGAATAATTATTATTATAATTATTATTCTTGATTTTGATTGAATAATTATTATTATAACTATTATTTTTTATTTTTATTGAAGATTTATTATAACTATTATTTTTGATTTTTATTGAATAATTCTTATTCTTGATTTTTATTGAATAATTATTATTCTTGATTTTTATTGAATAATTATTATTCTTGATTTTTATTGAATAATTATTATTATAATTATTATGCTTGATTTTTATTGTATAATTATTATTCTTGTTTTTTATTGAATAATACTTTTTTTTTATTTTTAATGAGTAATATTATTATTTTGGATTCTTATTGTATAATTATGATTTTTGATTTGTATTGTTTTTGCTTAAAATAAAACTAAAATAAAAAAAAAACGAGGGGGAACTTTGTGAGTTGCTGCGGAGACCGCAACTCTACATTTATACCCGATACTAAGTCAGTATGGCTCTCCTCCGACAAACGCCGCTAATATTAAACGACACTACAAAGAGTGCGTGCAAGAGAGACAGAAAATCAGTCTGAACATGTATGAACATGTCGTCGGGGGGGGCTGTTGTGGGGGCTGAAGGGGGTGTCGTTGCTCTAGCTCTTATAGTCTTTGAGCACTAGGCGCTGATAGGGACGGACAGACAGACATGGCTCAATAATAATATAATATACCCCAATACTCATTTTGAGTATCGGGTATAATTAAGATACTTTCCGCCAAAAGCCGTCAAGTGTCACCGAAACAAGGCCCGTGGCGGGGAAACGAGCAAGGCAAAAAGGCACAAAGTATAAAGTTCGAAGCAAGGTGGCTCTGGATGGGTATAAGCGTAGGGGATAAGCCCAAGCAGGCTTCTCTGAAGAGGGTCAATTCGGAAGAAAAACAACGGAAATATAAATGAAATACAAAAATAATATCCAGCTTAAAATAAAATAAAAAATAAAAGCCAAAGCCAAAGCATGAAATAATGAACGGGAGAGAAGTGGGAGAGGAATCAAATGAAAAGCGACGGACACAAAAATGTGCGTAAAAAATTATGTCACTCAAAATGGCATTGCTGACACCCCCGCCCACTGGCCACCGCCCCTCGGCCCGGCGAGGCATCTCTGCCATGCGCCGGCAACCGGAAGTGAAAATATTTGGACGCATTTTCTCTTTTGCGGCTCGAGTGAAAATAAAAGAAAATTATTATGCGTGGCCGGAACACAGAAAACAAAGCCAAAACAAAAAATCCATGAAAACAAAATGGCCGAAAATGAATGTGTGTGTGAGCAGGCATAGGTGTGTGTGTGTGTGAGTGAGATGATGAAAGATGAAAGCACCAAAGAATGCCCAGAGTTTTGCCCAAACAAAAATCAAACGGTTAGAAATTATGGAATTAAATTTCATGAGATGGTGTCTTTAGTGTTTTTTGGGTTTTGTCATTCTTTAAGAGTTTTTAACATCTGTGGTTGTGGTTGTTGCTCACCTGCCGGGCACCTCTCATCTCCGTCTTTGAGGGCTTTAGATGATTCGGTTTATTTGATGATGGAGAAAGCAAGCGGCACATTCAAAATGGGGTTGGGGGGGAGGAGATGCGAGAGAAGCACAAAAGTTAGACACATCAGACAATACAATTTATATGCTATTCTATTCTGTGAGCCCAAAGGTGGTGAGGGGGTGGTGGGGCCTAATGTGCACTATCCGATTTCAACACTTTCACTTTAATTGTCGGGGGCTCCTTCGCTGGAAATTTGTCAGCCACACACACGTGTCCCGCATCGCAGCGTCTCTCGTTTCTATATTTAATCCCTTCCTCCTGGGAGTTGCCCAAACTATTTTCGAAGCCCCTTCAGTGGCCCCTCTTGAACGGCCCTCGTCGCAGAGCTGAAGAGCTCTTCCCGGCATTGTTTCAAGGGCTGAGGTGGAGTGCAGCCGAGTGCGGGGTTTGTTTATGTTTAAAGGGTGTTGCGGAATCACACCATTACACGCCGTCGGTGTCAATGGGAGATCGAGTATGAGCATGTGTGTGTGTGCGTGTGCATGTGTGTGTGTGTGTGCGTGTGCATGTGTGTGTGTGTGTGCTTGTGCTTAATTAGTTACAGTATTTATGAGACAGTTTACCACTCGTTCGAATGCGACTATTAATATCTATCGAAGGTCTATAGAGAGCCTACCAAGCTTCACTTCCCACTCGAACTATTCTACAACTACTCCAACAGCTAGCTCTCTTAACTAATCCTTTGGGTTAGCCAACAATTAATTGGAGGTCTAGAGGTCTGCGGTCGGACGAACCTTTCATTTGGATAAAGTTCAAGTTGTCGATGGCCCGTGCCAGGGCGGCGTCGTCCAGGGTCAAGTCCACGATGGGCGAAACACGCGGCGCCGCATTGGTGACCTCCTGGTGCCAGGTCATGTCGGTGTTGGCCACCCGATTGATGAGCATGGAACCAACCTGCAAGGACGCATCGAATAAGCACCAGACACATGTAGTTTGAGGGATGTACAGACCTGTAGAAAGGCGGCGCTGTCAGTCTCCTTCAACGCCTCGATGCAGAACTGGATGAGGCCCGTGGTCTGCTGCAGCTTGCCCGTGCAGTTCGATTGCTGATCCTGCGGAGCGGAGGTGGAGACGGAGGTTAAAAAAAGCAGAGAGCGGGGGGGGGGGGGGGGGGGGGGGCCGTGAAGTGTGTACCCACCTTCAGTATCCTGATTTTGGTGTCCTTGTCCATGCGGATGGCCTCCAGCAGATACTCGCGCCGGTCGTGGATGGCCTGGATGAGGGCCTCGCACTGGGCGTGCACCAGACGCTCGAATTCCATGCAGGATTCCTGATTAAAAACCGGAGCTGAGAACGGGTTCTGTTTCGGAGTAGGTCCGGGCCACACTTACCGTCACTTTGTCGCTCATGCCTTTGAGGCGCTGGATGAATTCCGTGGTGGAACGTGCCTTCTCCGACAATTGTTGCAGATTGTGCGAGAGCTCCGTCTGCAAAATACGGGAATATGGGAATCGTAGGACAATGACATCAGCGCAAATATTAATAAAAAACAAGCCAGGAATGCAGAAATAAAAGTTTACGGTTTACGGGTGCACGGGTGTACGGGTGTACGGTTTACGGGTTTTCTTTTATGAAGTGCTCGCCGCACGGAGGCGCCCGCGGTGACAGCTCCCTTCACATTTTCCATGGCATAGCTACAGTATAAAAAACCACCCCCGCCCCCATCCAGAAGCCGCCCCCCCAAAGAATCAGTTGAAAATATGTCTGTCTGGCAGTACTGGCAGTACGGCTCAATTACCGGGGGAGTAGAGCCATCACGCAAGCCATTTCCACTATCCGGCATTTGCAAAACCTCATTTGTTGAATGTTTTTGCCAAAACATAAAAGAGACAATGTTTATGTTGCGGCGTTGGAGGCATTTGCGCTTGACACTGACATGACACGATACGACACGACAGGACACGATGGCAGCAATTTGAACAATTCAATTCTCATCAACGGGAAATTTGTTCAGCAATTAAATTGCTCATACGCCACCCCACGCAGCCCCCCACGCAGTGCCCCACGCAGCCCCCCACGGCCTTCGTCTTCAACAATTTCAATTCATTAGCATTAAAATGGCTTCGTGAACGTGAACCCCGGCCAGCCATCTGTATCTTTGTTTGCAATACAAGGCATACACTGCTCCTACTCCCACTCCCACTCCTCCTCTTGCGCCCTTTTCCGGCATGTTGCTGCCCGCAGGACACTTTGGCATTGAACGTGCAACTCCGTCGCACCATAATTGTCCGGCTGGATGTCGAGGAGCTGGCTCAAGTGCTTACCAGACGACTCCGCTCCAGGGACAGATCCAGCGCCGGTATAAGAGCGAGACCGAGTACACGTACACCCTCGTAATACCCGCCCGGGGCCTTTACATGCTTTTCACTTTTCTAGACAAACGGAAAAACAGAAAACGGAAAGGGACCATTTCGTTCCGTGCCTTTCTCTCTGGTGCCTTTCCCATGCCAAAGACCGGTCCGGTGCTTCTGCCAGAGACGGCGTGCACTCATTACCACTTTTGGCATTTGTTTTCTGATTATTTTATTCTATTTGCCAGTCGTCGCCCTTCGTCCGCCGCTGCTGCTGCTGCTGTTTCCCTTCTTTGTTTGCTTATCAAATCAAAATAGCTGCCGGTGCACCTTGCGGGTGGGGGATCGCGCGGAGAGTGCTTTTTGTTCGGATTTCCCGGTCTTATTAGGTCCCGAGTGCCAGTAGATACCGATATACATGGACTGGAAGCTAAGGAGATCCGGGGAAGCCCCCGCTTTGGCACTCTTCTGGCAGATTTCTTGGCACCCGAAAAGCCACCCCTGTTGCTTCCATTTCCGGCTCATTCCGGACTGACCAAAACGAAATCTCTTTGCAAGTAAATGAATTTTCAATGCTTTCATAATTCTTCAAAAGAGCAGCCCACAGAACGGGGCCCAATTACTGGGAAATATCTGGTATCCAGGCCCCCGTAATGAGCAGAGCCCTCGAACAAGGCAGCTTATGACGATTACATTCATTAGCTGAATGCCAGTCCCACTCCTGCTCCCAATCCTTCCACACACAGATAGACAGACAGACAGATGGCTAAGCGCCGAAAAGTCGGCAAGGGAAAAGCTGATAGTGCAGGGGAGGCGGACGGCTAAGTGGCGGCCAAGAATGCGCAACGCGGACAGAAAACTGTTGAAATTTAATCCCTCGAGGGTTGCTTCAACGCTTCCTACACAATGCAGGGCCACACTCCCACTCCGCCCCACTCCGCCCCACTCTGGGGAGAAGTGGGGAGTGATTTTGAATACGAAGTGAAGGGCGGAGTGGCTGAGAGCCGGACTCCGTCCCGGGCTAATGCCGAGAGTCTGTTTTGCATTGATAAGCTGCCCTCTCCTGTTGCGTCCTCCCCAATGGCAATCCTTTTGAAAACATTTTCTGAGCTGCGATCTCCCTCCCCCCCTCCCCCTTTCCTCCCCGCTCTTTTATGACACATCGCCATAAAAAAAATATATCAAGTGCGCAGTCCGAATAAAAAGCTCCCTTCGGAGAAACAGGAGGGGGGCGGGGGGGAAGAAACTTTTATCAGACAGTAAAAAATAATAATAATATGACATGTTTATGCGCCGCAGACGCAGAGGCAGCAGCGTCGGCAGCAACGGCAGCGGCAACAGAGGCGACACCGAAGACTTCTTTAAAGTTGCTACGCATGCAAATCGTGTAAATAATTCAAGAGCTCCTGTCAGGCGGCGCAGAGCGGCGCGGCGGTGTCTCCTCTGTCCCTTTTGTGGCACTGACGTGGCCGTGACACATGGGCCCGCGGGAGAGACAAATAAATTATTAAGCTGTTGAGAAACCCAACCGGCAGCAGTGGCACTGGCAGTCACTCATATTAATACGCTAAATGTTGCAACAATGTGATGCCTTGAGGGAGCCGCCAGATGGGGCCCCGCTCGACATTCAGGTAGGAAAAACCACTTGGGGCTTAGGTGCGGAACACATTCCATGGCGGAAATCGAAGCAGAATTCATGGCACAAATTTGCTGCCACTTTAAGTATTTACGCTGCCACTTAACAGCCTTCTTATCACTTCAAACAACGGCCAAAGGGATCTGCCCTGCCTCTTATAGCAAGGAGACGCAAGATTTGATCTCGGAGAAGTGGCAAACAGCCCCCCATGCCACGACATGCCACAACTGGTAGGCTGCAACATAGGGCTGGGGGACAGAGTGGACAGCGGAGCAGCAGATAAAATCGCAGACTTTGCGGCGACGACGCCTCGTGGTCGTGCGGCAACAAGTTGCCAGCCACCGACTGCCGTCTGCTGCCGTGTGGCGCTGATTATCAACAGAATGTTGCCCATAATTTAGGGCTACACGATGCAGCTTGCTATAAATAAACCATCAACATGCAGTTCCACTCGTGTCGTGGCACGCGGGGGAGGGGGAGGGAGAGGCAACTATCGGGGGAACGGAACGGAATGGAATGGAAAGCCAGAGCTCGTTAAGCCGTTTTCGGAGCCGAATTGAAGTTGTGCAACATTTAGTTGGGCGCCCCCAAAAGGCTTGAAGAGGCTCGAGATTTTCAGAAGTGCAACAGTCGGCGGGCGGCGGGCAGCGGGCGGCGGGCATGTCGTAAAATGATGATATATCACGAGTGAGCACTCGTGCCGGCGCTATGTGAGAGGCCAATATTTATTGTGGACTAGGCCAGAGCGAGACGTGACAACGACTCGAATGTCTGTCGAGCAGGTGGCCAGGCAATCGGGCTTGAATTATAACGCATTTGAGCCATAAAGCCGCAGACATACGACTGTTTGCGGCTCCGATTACCTGGTACACATGTCGGGCTGTCCCCCGAATATGGTATCACACAGACCACGCACATAAATATCATTTACCGCCAATTCGTGTTGATGCACATGCAACACGTGGCTCTGGCTCTGGCCATTCCGTTCCCCAATGCCCCACAGATTTGGCATGCCATAAAAAATGATGATTTCTCCTGCTCTCAGCTTCCCAGCAGAATGTCTCAGTCTTAATGATAGCAAATAGCGTAAATAGAGCCATATAATACCTGCTATAAGTAGGCACCCGTTAAGGATCAGGTTGATAGGCATCTGCACAATTTTATAGCATGTGTTGCACGATATTTATGGCACCCTGGGTCTATGATTGATATCCGCAGCTTAGAGCGAGTGTCATTCAAACAAAGCTATCCATTTCAGGCCTTTAACGATCGTCAGAGCAGAGACCGCAGTACAGTCCAGTGGCTAGAGCCACCTTGGCCCTAATTATATGTACTGTCGAAATGCAGCTCTATCTCAGGCCTGAGCTTACCTTCTTCGTCATATTCCCAGACCCAAAGCAGCAGATGGGCACGGGGGGGGCTAGGGCTGGGGCTGGGGCTGGTTCTGGCGGCTTGGGCACACTTGAGGCATGAGTAATGCGTGGCGCGTTGCAGTCGCCTTTGAGGCCCGATAAAAAGCTTAAAATACAACTTACATTCTGGCAAGATATGAATTTTAAGCGCACAGCACATCCCATTGATTTATGTGGCAGTCAAAGGAAGCCAGCCACTGACGGCGATGGTTTTTTAAATTGGATTACGAGTGTCTGTCTGTCCCGTGAGCTCCCTGATTTGCATGCCGAGTGTGCGGCTGAGTATCCGATTAAAAATAAGCCAAGACGACAGCTTATTGAGCCGCCGGTTCGTCTAATTAATTAACGACTAGTGCCAAGATCCGATGCCCAAAATGGAAATGGACTCGTGACATCCCAACGATTTGAAAACCAAACAAAACAGGAAAGGGGAAACGGGAAACGGGAAAGGGGTACCGGGAACCGCAGACGAAACAGCAAATAACCAAATGAGGGGAGTTTCCCTGTCTCTTCGATTGATTGCGATTCTGGTGTGGCACCCACTCCAAAGGGACACAGACACGGAAAGGGGGACTGGGACAAACCGCAGAATCTAATTTAGAAAACGTCGGTGTGTGTGTGTGTGTGTGTGTGTGTGTGTGTGTGTAGAGCACATGTGGAGTCATCTGACGAGGGGGAGTCAACAAATGTCTACTGTCGGGTGTGTAAAACAATATTTGAACTGAAGGAAAAGGAAACCAAAAGGTAGAGCCAGGGAGCAGGGGAGCAGGGGAGCAGCGCCAATGCGCAACAATCAAAATATTTTCATGACAAATTTAAAACAACAGAACCATGAAGTGGAACACGTTGCAAGCGTTTGGTCAGAAGTGCTCGTACTTGCAACAGGGAGCAGTGGCCTGAGAAACAAGTTTTGCGGCGTTCAACCAAGCGGAATGAGACATGTGGGAAGAGTCCAGGAGCAAACACTACAGCGGAGTGAAGGGATGGCAACTTTGAACCCATCAAAGCCACTGGGACCCCTGCGGAAACCCTGCTAATCCCCTCAACTCAAGAAGTGGCACACGTGTCTGCGTTTACAATTCATTACG